TAAATTCTTATTCTGCCCCAGGGCATCATTAGCAGGAGGCTCTAAATACCTGGGTCATCACTAACTATTAATGTTTTTTAAAGGTCTACAGGGCACATGGCTCATACCTGACTCACATCAGGTGAGGGAACAAAATGAGAAGTAGGATCAATGTCCATAAATAAAAACCCATATCACCATCCTCTTCATAGCTAAATGGTCAAAAACGTTGGGGATATTAAGGTTTTTCTTTTTTTCTTTTCTTTTTTTTTTTGTTTTATTTCCCTGTTTTCTTAATTCAGCCAGACAAAGCAGATTTGGAGCCCGCCCTCTGCACGAGAGACACCATATATACATTTCTTTTATATCATTTGGTGAAAGAGGGTTTGCCGAGTTAGCCTTTGAAAACCGCCTCACTGGCCGGCTGTCCGCCAGCTCGCCACGCGTGGGCCCCCTCCAGCTGCCCAGGATATAGCCTGGCTCCATCCTTCTCCCCTCCCGGTCCTCCACCTCTCCTGCTTCCCCGCCTCCCCCTCCTCCCTGACTCTCACCTTGTCTACAGGGTGGGCAGAGAAAGAGAAAGGGATGAACGTTAAACCTGAAAAAAAATTTTTGTTAGTAGCCCTTTTGTGGAATTAAAGTGCCTCTTTTAAATAAGTCAGGCAGAGAAAGATAAATATCATCTAATTTCACTCATATGTGGAATTTAAGAAACAAAACAGATGAACACAGAGGAAGGGAAGGAAAAATAAAATAAGAGAAAAACAGAGAGGGAGACAAACCATAAGAGACTCTCAACTCTAGGGAACAAACTGAGGGTGGCTGGAGGGGAGGTCAGTGGGGGATGGGGTAATTGGGTGAAGGGCATTAAGGAGGGCACGTGATGTGATGAACACTGGGTGTTATATGCAACTGGTGAATCACTAAATTCTACCCCTGAAACTAATAATACATTATATGTTAACTAACTTGAATTTAAATAAAACTAAAAAAAAAATAAGAAATAAGAAATAAAAAAAGAATATCCTTAGAGATATAAAAAGACAAAGTGCCTCTTTTATCTCACTGTAATCCAGAAATACTCGAACTTTGAATAATGACAGAACATTCGGTACATTCAGCACACAGGGAGAGTCAATTAGCAGGGCACATGAGCAGTGATAAACATCAGGGCGTGTGGGAAAGCCACCCAAGGACTCTGGTCTGATACATCCGGTAATGGCGGGCCCCTCTGCTCTCCTCCAGTTGTGAATTGAATGTGATTCCTTCCTTTGACACACGATTAAACCTCTTATGTTGCAGGCGAATAATAAGAAGGGAATCTGGTTAATCTCTCAAACACCTGGCTGCATGAGACGGGCAAAGTGAGCCTCCACCTAGCAGCTACCTGCCAGATGCCTTCTCGCAATAGGATCACTGCAACTATGAAGACGCAGTGAGGTGGAGGGGGTAAGTTGATAAGTTATTTTTCCGAAGGCGGCAGCATCGGGAGCCTGACAGGTTGGAACACTTCTTACCAGCTCTCCAGGAGCTCTGGAACTTTCAGCATTTTGCAGTGTTGAGGGGAGACAAGCTAAGGCCCAGAGAGCTGATGAGCCGGGACCACCATCCTCGAGGTGGGCAGGGCTGGTGCTGGCCTGAGCGCAGTGCCTGGATGCCCCGGCCAGGCCTTTTTCCACACATTGCCCCGAGGTATCCCGAGAAGAGTCTGGGGCCAGGGTGAGTCATGTGAGGAACATGTGGGACAGGAGGGGTGAAGAACCAAATCACAGGAAAAGGCTTAGGAAATTGAAAGCTGTTTTGCCTATTGATGCCACATTGAACAGGATAAGGGCTTGCCATTCCCTGGGGGTGAATCCTCTAATGGCCTTGTGGGTAGGAGGCTTCTGGACTTGGCTTTGGGGGAGGGGGCTGTGCCAGGGCCAAGGGGGTGAGTGTGATGGAGAGAACTGATTTACAAACCCTTCTCTGGTTAAGAACAGGTTAGATGGGGCTGTCAGGTGTGAGGAGGGGGCTCCAGGAAGAAAGTCCAAAATGGACCCAGAATGAGCCAGGAAGAGGAAGGAGGTGAGGGGCTGTCAACAACAAGTTTTTGAAAGAGCTGCCAAGAGACTGCACTGGGGAATCCCCAAGCAGAAAGCAAAGCAAGGTCCCGAGTAACTGGCCAAAGGGCTCTTGTTCCTTCTGGGAGGTGGAGAATAAATAATGTTTGTGCTTCCCCAGTTTGCAAACACTACCCCACACCTGTCACACCCTGAGCACACTTTCTCCCCCAGAAAGTCACTTACAAAACTGAATTTTTTTCCTGCTACAGAATTTTCCATACTTATTACTAAGATTAATGAGATTCATCTCTGGTTCCCACAGCAGTTAGAACTGAGATGGCTTGAGATTATCATATCTTGGTGGGTTAGTGAAAATCGATGCATTCTGGGGAAATACCGTGTATGTAACACACGCCGACATTCTACCGAGGTGCTTTCTTTCTACCCAGAAGGGCAAACATGCTTTCCATAGCAGGCACAGCAAGACTGCATGTGAATGTGTGTGTTCGGGAGTGTGAGTGTGTGTGAGTGTGAGTGTGTGTTTACAAGCAGATAGAGGAAGCCATATAGGCTTACCTGCATTCACAGGTACACTGAGGACAATTCCAACAGACATCAGAGTGGGATACGTAACGGCGATTCCAAAATTTAATACAATATTGAATGCTGAAATAAAGAACAGAAGAAGGGTATTATTGGTTACTGGCCCTGGCCTTGGTATCCTCCCTGGTCTGTCCCACCCCAGCTTCTCCGGTGAGGCTGGAGTCATGGGAGTTACTACTCAGTGAGCGTGGGTGGGGATTAGGGACAAATATCCTGATTAATCAGCTTTCCTCCCTTCCCCGAGCTTTGAAGAAGAGCAAAGAAATTCAGAAAAGGTCATCAGTGAGAAGGCTCTGGAAAAAAGGACTGGGACCATCCGACTCATCCTACTAACTTTGCTTTTCTTTGTCGCCGACAGTGATTCTGGGATGAGGACGGCCAGGTGCTTTGGGTTATGCATTTTGAGATGGAAACTGGGTGAGGCCCGTCCTTCGCTACTTTCCTGGGTAGGACCAGCCTTCTCCCAAGTAATGGTGGTGATGATATTCATCGTAATGATAACTGAGACAACGTGTTGGACACTGACTCACATCGGACAATGTTCTAAGAACTCTGCGTTCATTAACTGGCCAGCTCCCTCCAGGGCCTGTGAGGAATGTTCTGTTATCAGGAGGTCACACACAGCACTATTTGGAGCAGCGGTGACCGTGCCTACTATGGCCATGCTGGTGGTTCTGGAATTAGAATCCAGTGTCGTCATTACAAAGGCTTCACTTGGAGAGACACCAGGGTCTCGAAAAGCACTGGGAACTTAAGGATAACCATAGAAGGCTTCTCTTCTTTCGGGCATGGGTTTCTAGATGCCCCTGGAGCTGCCCAGGTCCTGCTCATCAGTCGTTGCTTCTGACAGGGGTATTCTGACCGAGGTGGGGGGTCGCCACTTACTCAATAAGAGGACTGAAAATCCACAAAGGTTTCCCCATGGAATGTCATCGAAAGAGCTCCAGTATTCCACTTTGGTAAAGTAGAGGATGACGGGAATACAGGTGATGAAGAGGATGTTAAACACACCCAAAATGGACAAAAATAAGGCGGCTTCTCCGAACTTAGCACTGCCCAGGAGGAGCTTGAACAGAACCTGCCGGAGAAAGCAGAGGAGGGTGGGTGAATGCTTGCCTCAGTCGCCATCTTGCCTCAGGGGCAGTGGGTGCACCTGACGGAGGCTGGGCCGGAGGGCAGGACGGCAGCCAGGTGACAGGCAAATCAAGGTGACAGGCAAATCCGACCTCACTAGGCCTTCAGGGAAAGGGGGCTGGGGTCTGCCCTAGGCACGCTTGTACGAATACCCAAATCTCAGCAGCGCCACAATGGAGAGCTACGGATCTCAGGCATCATGGAGGGCATCTCCGGGAGTCATGGCTTTTCATGCTAGGCTTGATTTGTCTGTGTTGTACTCGTGACACCACACCCCAGCTTCAGAGAGTCCGAAGATGGGGAAGCCACAGAAATTAGAAATAGCTGCCACGGGGACACATTCCTCTTGGGGACTTCTGCCTTTCTACAACACAGCCTGCCCCCAGGACAAAGAGCTTTGGCTGCGAAGGCATTTTCTATAAATCGAAGGTAGAGGGATTCTAACACTCAGAGCTCATCTCTGCTCCATCCCACCCGCCCTCTTCCAGAAACTATTTTTAGTGGTATGTACCCCACTTTGATTTCTTGCACCTGTCCTTGTTTGTATGTATTTGAGGGGTGTGAGGCGCAGGAGGAGAGGGACAGACGTGCCTGGAGTGGCCGGGAAGCCGGGATGACAGAGGCAGCCGCCTCCGTGTTCCAGTGAACTATCCACAACCAGTGAACGGATCTGAGTCCAGCTTGAGTCTCTGCATTGTTGTGCTTCCTACTTTGCCTGCCTCCTCCTTTTTCAGCCACTTCACAAATCTTTCAGGTATTTCTGGGCATTTGTGCAGGAAGCATAAGAAGAGAAATAAATTGCTTTCAGCCTTCCACCCACCGGCCCCTCTGGATAAACATCAGGCAGTGGAGGAGATAGGAAAGGGGAGTCGAAATCAGAAATTTGTGTTCATTGTGGATTGCATTTCCATATGCGCTCTGCTTCCCATTAGCACGCAGCTAACTGAGTCCAGCAGAGTTGGCCTGGTCCCGTTTTCTGCATTTGAATAGTGGCTTTGAAGTCTCAGAGTGGTGCGGGGCTATCACATCCTCTTGGGGAGATGCATCCCAGAGCAGGTAGATGGTATGTGTGCCTCTCTCTGTGGGCAGTGAGTGTGGGGAGCTGATGAAGGACGGGAAGGTACAGTCATTTCTCGTTCCAAAACCACAAAATGTGTTACACACAGAGCTGGAAAAAAAAAAAGTGCCTTTTCTTCTAACTCTCTACCGTACTTTAATTTTCCTCTGTCCTACTGCCTGGATCCAGGAAGGGCCATAAGTCTCAAAGCTAAAACCTCATTCCTCACTGAATCCTCCAGGTCAGGTTCCCAACTTGGAGGCCAGAGAAAATCTGCAGTCTTCACTATGGAAGAGAGGAAGCAAGGGAAGGAGGAAGGAGAGCAGCCAGGAGCCATGAGGGGGTGGAGGAGCAGAGGGTGGGGAACACACATGGCTTCATCCAGCCCCGCAGCTGGGACATGCTTTCTAGGGCTTCCCCACATTTTGTCAAAAATATGTTATAATCCCCGTATCACAGGAGTTGGCTTTTTATTTATTGCTATGGGCAATGCTTAAAATGCATATGGATTCACGTTGAGTACCAGTAGCTGCAAAAAACCATGCAATGAAAGATCTCAATGAAGAGGTTGCACAAGATATTTAAATCTTCGTGTCAAACCTGGTGGGAAGTCATCTCCCCAAACGCTGAGCCAGGCCCTCAGGGGCCCTGGTCCTTCTCCAGTCCTTGCCAACCAATGAAGTCATCTGACTGAGGCTGGGCCCATCCACTGTTGCACCTATTTTATGCCCAATGCTGCAAAGAGATCTGGACGGAAAGGTCTAGAGAGCCAAAGCCAAGAGCGGGTGCATGCCTCCCTCATCCCTGCAAGTCTGTCTGCACACTGAAAACAGCTGCTCGTCTTAAAGCACAGGTACCATCAAAGATGCCCCAAAGGTAACGGGCCGACCACACTGAGGCCTGCTCTTCTCTCAGAGAGCTTACTCCCCGTATGCTTACCTTGTAGAGGGCAGACATGGACGCAGAGCCCACCACCAGCGCTATGCCGATGACAGAGTGGCTGTGGAAGCCATCGGCATAGGTCATCATCACGATCCCAGCAATGGCGAGAATGGCGGCCACAATCTGCACAGAAGGGAGAAACCAGTGGTGAGGGTGGTGGTGGGGAGTCTGATGGGCCTCCGAAGGGCCAACGAGGCAGAAATGCTCATGAGCGTTCTCATGCGAGGGAAGAGTGGTGTCTCCTTCCCAGTTCTCTGAAGAACAAACGAAATTCCTGTTCTTGCTTAGGAAAGCTTAGCATGATTGAACCCCCTGGAAGAGTTGGCGGCAAGGAGATGTGCCGTGGCTCAGCATCACGTGGTGGCCCATCCCTGTGGTGCTTGGAGACCGCACAGGAGACGGTCATAATGCCAACAGCAGGGGATCTGGCCCTGACGAGGTCTGGTAGACTGCCCCTGGAAATGACCCCAGTTCCCGCCCAACCTTCTGAAAGCACCTCATGTCATCTTGCTCTTAGGTACGTGGTATCTCAACAGAGAGGGCACAGATGTTGGCCCCATTTAACACGCCAGCGGTAGGGTCTTCTGAAAGAGTGAGTGTCATGTGCCAAAGGGCCCCAGTGTCCTACCCCTGGGGGCGCCGTGCCTTTCCTTAGCTGCGGAGGGGGCTTCCCTCCACGTCCCTCCTCAATCCTGGGATTGTTCGGACCCAGACTTCTCACGTTGAATGGACGCCTCAGGGAGATGTACACACTTCTGCTGCCACACAAAGTAAAATTGTCCGATTACACAGGGCACTAACTACTTGGGATAACATTTCACGAAGGAGAAATGCATCAGCGCAGAGAGTAAGATGGTTCTAGCCCGAGGTGGTCACGGAGCTACCTACGTGTCGCTGGTGTGAAGTGGGGCTGGGGGTGCTGTAGGCAGAACACATGTTTCCTCTCCTGGATTCACTGAGAGCTTTATCCCTCTTAATGGGTCACTCAAAATTGACCTCAGTTACCGATAACAATCTTAAGTAGCCACCACTGACTGACTAAGTGGTCACGGGATAAGTGTTTTCTTTGTATTTTCTCATTCAATCCTCAAAATAGGCAGATACTATCATCCATTTCATTTTGTAAACATGAAAACTTTGGCTCAGAGAGGTCATGTAACTTGCCCAAAGTCACAGAGCTGGTGTGTGGCTGTGCAGGGAGGCAAAATTTCAGGTCTGTCTGATTGCAAAGTCAGCATTGATCTATAAAACCAGGACAAGTAGGATTCACAGAATTCACCACTGCCAACTATACTCTGAGATTTGAATTGAGGTTTCTTTTGTGGCTTAAGCATAACATTTTCAGGTTAGTGAAAGGTAACATGGTTGAGCCTCACGTAGTGTGAGTTACATACTTCTAGAATATTCCTCGTGCAATATTTTCCTGTAATGCTAAGTCTGCTCATGTAACAACACAGAGGCTCTGGAGAGAGCAGGTGATGGTCGTTTATTAGAGGAGTGCCAGGCAATTGATTGTCTACTTGTCCTTTCTGGCTTAGTAGCTCACTGTTAGGCCTCATTCTACATCACACACTGAATATGTTTCATATGCCAATGCTACCCGTATTGTGTACAACTGTTCACGAAAAGAAAGAAACAGAGATAGTAAGACAATAAGTGACTTTTTCTTCCTTCCAGGAGAAGAAAGGGGTAAGTGACAAGGCAGGCAGAGTTCTGGGCCAGGGGACACACATAATGCAAAGATGCTGCTTGGAACAGGTTGACCTCGCTAGGCCACAGGGAGAGAAATAACTAGAAAAAAGAGGGAGGGATGAAGAGAGCTGAATTTCAGATGATTTGGTGCATCCCCAAAGGCGCTTGAATCTTTCCAAACTTGGGGCTGAAGTTTCAAGGAAATGAAGGAGCCCAAGGGTTGATTTTCTCCTCAAGACGTAGAAGGCTGGTCTCCAGCCTCTTTCTCTGTCTTCTCTACTGATTCAATAATAAAGGGCTGCAAGCTCCCCGTCCCCCTCCCCACTGCCCCGGGGCTGTGCTGTGCAGAAGAGCTGAGGGAAGGGGTTGGTGGGGAAGAGGTAGAGCCCTCCAAGCCACACTTGAGGAGCCCAGGCGCCCGGAGGTCATTGTGAGAGGTGGCACCAGGGGAACTTACCCTCACTCCCATGAAGAGAAATTAAGTAGAAGAGTTGGAATATAAAGCCAAGATAATTTCTTAGCCTTAGCCTGGGGCCCACCCAAAGTGCTGGAGCGAAGCTCATTCTTAATGCCCCTGACAGCAGAGCAGAGCTGAAACACCCTACGGGGGTTTGGGGGGCAGAGCCTGGAAGTCCTTCCTCAAGCCTGATGTTCCTTTCAAGATCCCAGTTCTATCCTTAAAAATGACATGTATATTTTACATTCATATCATAACATATCGGGTGTTCTTGGTTTGCACTTGGGAATGTTTGCTGCCTATTTCCTGCACTACAATGTACTTTCCAGGAAGGCCAGTGGTGCCTGTCCTGTGGTTTCACACGCCCCGCCCCCCATCTTCTAGATCAGGGTGTCCCTGGGGCAGAATGCTGAGTTTGAGGAGAAAATAAAGGAAAGGAGACAACTGAACTTCTCCATCTCTCCTTTCTCCCACCTTCCACCACCCCCTCCACGTATCTCATTGACCTGTCCGAAAACAGGGACTCGGGGCTTCAGACTGATGGGTAACAGTAGCCCTAGCACAGAGAAGGGCCGGGGGGGTGGTGGGAAAGTTAGCTAGAGGGGGAGGAAATGTAGGCGCAGGAGACACCAAGGTCAGCGTGTGGCAATTACCCTCTTACTGGTGGCCCCACTTCACATGGTGACCCCACTGTAGCCTGCCTGGCCCCCGGGGGCTCCGTCCTACATCCCTTATGGCCCCACTGCTCCCCCTCTGATGTCAGGCTGAGGGGAAGGAGCCAAACCCCGTGAGGATCAAGGAGGAATGAGAGAGGTGGGCGCAGCATGGAGTGTGACCACCCCTCAGACAAGCTCCCCACTCTGCTCAAACTGGGATGGACTGCGTGCCCTCTGCCAGACTGAGCCCCGTGGGGTGCACTGTGGATGTGTACAATCTGGGGCAATTCTGAGGAACGGAAAGGACAAATTGTAAATAGACTTCCCCTCCCAGCTCCTGGCTGCTCTTATCCAGCAGACTATTAGAGTTTGGTGGGATCGTCTAGTGGACCCTTCTGATTTCAGGGCGTGGGAAGGGGCTAGCCGTGAGCCTTGCGGTGCTCCCCCAGGCTCTATGTGCTCTGGGTCCTCCCCTGTGCTGCGCTCGGGTGGCAGGGGACAGCCTCCCCAACACAAGGCAGTCGGGATCAGACGCTGGAGCTACCGTTCAGGGACAGCCTCTCGTGAGACGCTGAGAGCACTGTAAAGATTGAAAACATCGGCTAGAACCCGAGATGGGACCTGGTCTTGGAAAAGGCACAGGATCCCCAGGAATGTGCTGCTGGGGTTCAAGGGCCCACGTGAATGATCTCTCAGCGTGCCTTGTTTCTGCGTCAGTCCCTCCTGGTTGGAGGGTCTTGACTCTTGTGGGCAGTTATGATTAGCTGCTCAGCAAGCGGAGGATCCCGTCTTCCATGTGCCCTGAGCTGTGGGTGGGGGCGGGGGGAATGGTCTCACCCACCGCCCTTTCTCGGTCCAGCTGCTGAGCACAGCTGGGTGGGCTTCGGCTATAGTAGAGACTGTACTTCACGCCCCCCGAGTTCTACTTGCTCTCATTCTAGTGCTGCTTTTGCTAAACAAAACTGCCTCCTTCGACGTTCATCAGCTTCTGACACGGTCACCAAAAGTACTGGGCTGATCCAACAAAGCCCTCCAACTGAGAAGGAACAACAGAAATAACAACACCGAGAAAGAACAGTTACCGGATATACACCATCTTATTTTATTCTCACAACTCTTCTCTAAAACGAGTACTCATCTACCTTAAAATGAGGTAACAGAGGCTCAGAGACGTTCAATAACTTGCTCAAGGCCCAACAGCTTATAAGAGTGGAATCAAGATCCAAACCCTAGCCACTTGACTCTAGGCGAGAGCACCTCCCTGTTGGGTCAGAAAGCCTGCGTCTGGAGAGCCAGGGAACACATAGAAAGCACAGAGTCAAAGGGTGACACAGTGGTCAACTTGGGCTCCTTTCGATGGCCACCTCTGATGCTGTAAGTGGCCAGGATCTCTCTGGCGTGAGATGTTTGCTGCTTGCTGGTCAGTCCACGGGACCTGGACCAGTTGGTGTTTTGCAGGAACCACAGCTCTTGTGATTTGAGTCATTGTCTTAATAAACATAGGTGCGCTGTGCAGTCTGTTCCCACAAACATAATGCTGAGGCTCCTTCATCTTCTTTCTATCTGTGTGACTCTCAGGCTCGTATGCTTGGCCCTCCAGTAAGGTGGACCGTGTCATTTCCCTTCAAACTTTGGAAATTCTGTGCCAGCTAACCCAGCAGTCTGAGAGAAACCTAAGAGAACCCTTGCACCAGTTAGATATTATCCGGGATCTGAGTTTCCATCTGTTCTCAAGGGGAAATTTCCCGTCACTCTGGCCACTGAGGGGGTCTCTCCCAGATTTTGCTAGCTCTCTGAACTCTTAAAGATGAGAAGAGGGGAATCTGCCATGACTTCGAGTGGGAAGCTCTCAGATGGCAGGTCACATGCTTCCCAGAGGAGTGATGATCGCTAGAGAGACCCCCAACCGCACGGTACGTTACGGGTTACACGACTGCATCAGCAGCGCCAGCTTCTTAGACTTTCATTTCAGTGCCGGCCTAGTGATGGCTTCAACATAAGACTTTGTTCAGCATACAGCCGTCAGCACAGACCCAACTGGCCAAGTGGCCAGGATGGCCAGACTGGATCGCAGGTCAGGGACATCAGGGGAGATAACCCTCTTAGCCATGAATAGCAACAAAGGGAAGATCTGGATGTGCCATGCTGTTCCTCTGAGCCTAGGAGGGTTTCAAGTATTTTCTAACTCTTTCTCTTAACCTCAAAAAAAAAAAAAAAATCCTGCTTAGAGGCAGAATTCACCTGGGTTTCTCTTCCCAGTGAACATGATCCTCTCTGTAATTTGCTTTGGACATCAGAAACATGCCAAAAAGTTTCATGAATTCCCTTGAGATTTTGCATCCAAATAAAGTCACCACGGGCCCCAGGACATCTGAGTCTTCAGAGTCCAGCCAGGCAGGCTGATGGACAGATTACTGCTGGAACTACCTACATTTCTTGCGGAGATGCATGAGATCATTTATTTGCTGAAAGCTTTTCTGGGTGGTTAGCAAGGGGAGTGAGTTTTTATTCCAAAATTAACATTAAGCCTCAAAACAAAGTTTCCCCCTACTGCAAGCCAGAAATACTCCTCAGCAGTTGACTCATGTCCCCACTGCTGTTTGAGTAACTAGGTGGGTGTGAATCCTCCACCAGGGTGATGTCATTGTTCCCAGGACAATGAGCAAAGGACACAAGTAAGAGAGGGCCCTGGAGTCTGCCCCCTGCCAGGTGCCAGCACGGTTCAGGGGAATGGGACTGCCCATCAAAAGGGCTCTCAGCTGCCTGGCTTGCCCACAGGGCCTGAAGGTGCAGGAAGAAGTTAGTGATGCCCCCCGCTCCGCCCCACAAGAGAACTAGCTGCAAGGCCAAATCCAAATCTTCCTTTGTCCTTGTTTGCCGGCAAGGTGGTGATGGGGCAGTAGCAGCTCTTGGCCACTAGAGGGAGACAAGCAGAAGCCACCAGGATTCTGTCAACGTGAACTGTCCCCTCGATCCTTTTATTCGGGGTGAGTCCTTGTATGTGCCACACGATCATATTTCACACCACTGTTAGACATTTGACTAGCTGAGTTTGACTAGATTTTAATGGGATTTGCTGAGTCTCGGTTCTGACAACAAGAGGTAATTCGAGGACAGAATCTCACTCTCCCTTCACCTGAGGTGTGGAGGGAAGGAAACTGCCCGTCCACCATCTGGATTTAGCACAAGTGTCTCTGGCCCACTTCAGCTTTGTACACACAGTCCAGAGAGGGGGCGCACCGAGACCGCCCGCCCGTCCATGTGGATGCGGAAGGATCCCCCTGCTTTCAGGTGCATCCTAAGCAAAGAGGGACAGGGTTAGCAGAGAGCTCTGGGCGGCAGGGTGCGGCTGTCCTCGGGAGAGAGCGGGAGAGCACGTAGAGAGGGGAGAACATCGCCATCCCCAGGTTGGGTCCCCGACGGGCACACACGTTAGGGAATGCTTACTGAAATGCTTGAAATGAAAGGTGCTTTAATGAATGCTTGTCAAGTATGGTTTGCAAGCAAGAAAGTTTGCAAGGCACACGGAGACCCAGGCTCCTTTTCTGCTGCAAATCGGCAGGACAGTGGTCAGCAGTTTAGGCTTAGGATGCAGCACATGGAGCCAAGCAAGCCAATGGGCAGGTTTTGGTTGACATGACCGAGTGAGGGAGGAAGACAGATAATAAGGAACTTACCCTCACTCCCATGAACCTGTCCCTGAGAACGATCCATGAGAGCAAGAACACAAAAGCTTTGTTGCAGCAGAACAACACGGAGACATCCGTAGTGTTTACTTTCTTTATTGCATGTAAGTACAGGTAGTTTGTGAGTGTCCAAAGAACACCAAAGGGTGCTGCCTTGGTAAAAAACACCTTCAAAGTCAAGCCATTGTCTCCAAAAAATCGACAGCACTCCCTAAAACAAGGAAAGAGAGGCAGCGTTATTATATTCTTGGGTTGAGACCGACCATTTTTCCCCTATACCCATTTTTAAAGCAAATTAGAAGGGGGGTACAAGCCGTTTATTCTGATTTTTTAAATTCTTTTTTTTTTTTTAATGAAAATCTATTAAGTAGGTCTCCGACCTGTTGCTTTAATCCATTGAAGAAAATGTCCCACGGTGATCTGACATCATAGATTTATTCCTTGGGCTCATGCTACATTTGGAACTGATGGTTCTAGACAGAAGGCACTCACGTGTTGGGATTATCTGATCTGAAGAGAGGGCCCAGGTCCATGGTGACTGACTGAGGAATTCTGTCACTTGCTTGGTAAGAGAAGGAAGTCACTAGACCTCTACCATGGGGGAAGAATACTTGAAGAGAACTCATTGAGACGTATTTTTTAAAAATTTGCCTCTGGCTAGAATTGTCTTTGTGGTCAGGCAGCCAATATGTTTTGGCTGCGATACCACTAGTGTTAATGAGCTATGCATTTTCTCCCCGTGAGGCCGTTTTTAGAATCCGTTATTCCACTGCATGGAAGTTCATGTCTCCACGCCCCCTGAGAAACTAGCACAGGTCCAAGAGTTCAGCCTCTGTGAACAGAGAGTGGGATGAGGAAACAGCTATAGAAGGAAGGCTTTCAATGTCATTCTCGATTCCAGGGGAAGGACCATCAGTGTATGAAAACCCATTTCTGAAAACCAAAGCGGAAGAAGGCAACAGAAGAGGCCGGGGGGTAGAGAGAGTGGAGAGAGCCCTGAGAGGGGCTTGGTCTGCAGACCTGGACTGCTGGGGAGCCAAGGTCATTGCTCTGCTGCGCTGACAGCCAGACAAGGAGACAGATGAGCAAGGAGCACGGCTCCTATGGCCGCCAACACCCAGGCTCACACGCAGGGCCCAGCACAGCTGATGCATCAGTAAGTGAGGATGGGAGTCAGTGAGAGGAAAGATAAAACTAAAATAAGCCAAATACCCCAGCGTTGGGAGAACAGCTGCGGCCTCTGTCACTTAAGATTAAAATGCAGCGGGAAAGGAGGAAAATTAAAAGCAAGAGTCAAAAGGGATTTGGTGTGATTTTTAATGTAATTCAATTTGTTCTTATCACCAACCCAAAATGAAATCTGCCCCTGTTCACTACTCGCCTGTGGGAAAGCCCCAGAAGAAACAGGAAGCTCATTACCTTTCACTGAACTCAGAGTCCTATGTGGCTTCTAAACCAGCACCAGGGAAAGTGTTCGAATCACTAAATTTACCACGAAACCAATTCAACTGAATTGGTTCCAGTTTGACTTTATAGAGACAAAACTCTCATCTGATAGGCTGATATTTCTGTTGCTGCGTGATTTTCATACAGTATTTTCTATGGGGTTTTCTCAAGCCCCTGTTCATAGAACAGTCTTCTTGCCCTCGAGAACAAAGACCAGGGATGGCTTCCTTTGTGTTTGGGATTTTCAGTAGCTATAAAGTGGTGCCAGTCCTTCTAGCATGATCAACAGGAAATACAAATCTTCTGTCCCGCCACTAATGTCAACCTATTTTACATTTTTTTTAAGTAGGCTCCACGCCCAGCATAGAGCCCAAAGTGGGGCTTGAATTCATGACCCTGAGATGCAGACCTGAGCTGAGATCAAGAGTTGGATGCCTAGGCCAGGTGTCCCTAACGTCAACCTATTTTAACTCTACTTAGAGGTTACCCTTCTTAAGGGACCACAATGCAAGTAGGATTTCCAAGTTTCCCAGACTATTATAAAAAATGATTCATATTGTGGCAGGGGCCATCCAAAGTCATTTGGACAACCTTATGTCCTCTCTGAGAATCTAAGTGTGATTCTTCCAAAGTGTGATGGTTTTAGAAGTGGTGCGAAGAGGGATCCATCCTGGAGATGGAAAAGGCAAGATTTCTGGGCCCAGCAGAGCTCTGTTGGCCCTTTGTAGACTCATGGTGGGGAGTACAGCTCAGGTGGGGAGATCTTGGTTCTAAGGAGACAAAGATGATTGGCCCCTGAGCCAGTGAGCCTAGTGCTGTTTTCAGACCAAAGGCTGTCCACTAATCCATGTCAGCTGGGTTGCCCACATGTACCCTTGATTGCACAGGGACCCAAGAGAGATGATGAGCACAAATCCATTTCTTCCAGATACCTCTTTTTGGTATACAAAGAATAAAGTATAGTAGATACTCTCTTGACTGTTTTCCACTTAAATGACATGACAGTTGAATGCCCTTCCTTCCTTGGCAGGCTAAGTGCCCAAGGCACGTAGGTTACTCTCCGGCATGCCTAACCCCTTTGGTTCCTACCAACTGAGTCATGTGTTGGCCAAGATTTAGATGTTGTTTGTTTCCAGTCCTGCTTGTGCCAATTGTTCTTGGTTATTTCAACTGCATAATTTATTAAATATTTCCTAAACCAATGAAATGTGAGAAAAGAAAGTTGTGTTTCTCCTATGAAAAACTAAGTTGAGTGTTTCAGGGAAGAGTCAATAAAAGCAAGTCACTAAAATATTGCTCTTAAATTAGGTATGAATGAAACACTGTGTAGGATAGGAAAAATTGTAAACATGTGTAAGTTCTACAGTCCTATTATTTGGCAAATACCTATGCTCTTGGTATTCTTTAAAGAACCCTGATTAGGATAGCCTGGTTTGGTGGAATTAAGATGGCCAATCATTTTTTTTTTTCCAAATCAGTAAGCACTTGTTTATAACTTGTTATATTCACAATTCTAGACAAGTCACTCTGGCTGATGCAGAACAAGTAAACAGTCCCTGCTCTTGAGAACATTATAGTGTGATCGGGGAGATACAACTGATTTCCTCAACAGAAAGCAATGCAAGTTTAAATATAATCACATATTAGATGGTGTGGAATATAAAAATGCTATAGAATTCATGTTTAGTGGAGAGATTTGAACCGATTGGACAAGGCCTCATACAAGATATGGATTTTGAGCTGAACCTTCAAGGATAGGTAGGATTTATAATTAGGGTTGGGGGAGAGAGAACATCCTCGGAGAGAAAAGAGAAGAAATTATATCAATGAAACAGGAATGAACGGCTATAAAAAGGAAATTAAATAAAGGATAGATAAGTTAGAGAAATTAAGTAGAAGAGTTGGAATATAAAGCTAAGATAATTTCTCGAGAGAGAGAGACAGAGAGAAAAGATAAGATTAGAAGGTCAAGCCAGAAAGTCCAATATTAAACTAAAAGAAACTCCAGAAAGACAAAATGGGAAAAATGAAGTGGAGAAAATTATAAAATACATAAATCGAGAAAGTTCTTTAGAAATGTGAGATATGGGGGTGCCTGGGTGGCTCAGTTGGTTAAGCGACTGCCTTTGGCTAGGTCATGATCCTGGAGTCCCGGGATCGAGTCCCGCATTGGGCTTCTCCCTCTGACCCTCTCCTGCTCTCTCTCTCTATCTCATTCTCTCTCTCAAATAAATAAATAAAATCTTAAAAAAAAAAAAAAGAAATGTGGGATATGAATCTTCATAACAAAAGGGCCTACCAGGCACCAAGAAAAATGAATGAAGAAAGAACCAAAACAATGCACATACTTGTGACATGAGGGATCAAAATAACAATAAAAAGCTCCCAAGAGAAATAAAACCCATAGGTCCAAGGGGTAGGAAATCGTAATAGCATCTGACATCTCAACAACCAAAATGGAAGCGAAACCATAATAACCTTAACATTTTTCAAGGGAAAGTTTTTTTTTGCAAACCAGAATTCTATAACCAGCCAACCATCAATCAAATGGGATGGTAGAATAAAGATATTTTCAGTTATGCAGTACTCGAAAACATCGACTCCCATGCCACTAGAGGACAGGCTGCACCAACACCAGGGTGTAAACCAAGGAAGCGGAAGGTATGGCAGCAGAAGGCATGGCTCTGACACAGCCAAGAGTCAAAGCTAGTGCCAAAAGGAGGCTCCATGGCAGACCACGTAGGTCTCTGGGAGTGGAGTCTCCAGGAAGTCTTGTGATTACACCAGCACAGGGAGTATATTGATAGGTTTTTTAGATGGCAGAACATTTAGGAAAAAAAACAGCAATCATTAATGGAAATCAGGTAAACGAGACAAAAGAGGCAAATGTTACTGGCAGGAGAAATGACAGATTGTTCACAAAAGGAGACAAGAGTCAGTGAGCAATATTTGCATGCTTATAATAATGAAAACACTGTTAACCAAACGCTGGGATAGCATTATGTTGGAAGGATCGGAACCTGGGAGAGTTGGGCATAGGATGGGACAGAAATCAATAGATGTCTACATTTAAGAAATATGGAGATAAGACTTTAATTTACATAAATTGGCATAAATACCACAAGAATTAGGAGTGGCTGAGAGTGAACAGGTGTGGACAGGGGTTGCTGTTTTTTAAGGATTCTTTTACTGCTATTTCGCTTTTCCAAAGTATGTATATGTATTAAATTGCTAGAAATAAAAAACTGTTTAAAAACACATAAGAGAGAGGTCAAGTCGCTGTGGTTAAAGCTGACACATGAGTGCTCTGAGACAGTTCTGAGGAGTGCAGTTTGAAAACCACAGATACAGAGAAGCTACAGATAAAGATGCCAGAGCCCAGACAGATCAAACAATGCCCTCAAGTTCAGACGGTGGTGGAGCCAGGCCTGTGCTCATTCTCCACTGAACACTCAAAGATCCCCCTCTCTTTTGGGTCCTTTCTATCACCATTTAGATAGGTCTAAGCCTCACCAAAATACACCCCCAAGTGAAAGCAAGCATCTTGTCAGCCCTCTGTCCTCCCTCATCCCCTCTTTCAGAGCCAAGGTTTTTCAGAATGGTGGTCTGCACTCACGTCCGCCATGACTGCCTCTCTCGCTTTTCAGCTTACTAACCCTGTGTCAGCTCCCACCACTCACCCTTGGGATGATTACTAATGAGCTCTGCACTGCTAAATCCAATAGGCACCTGCCGGTGTTCATCTTTCTCTTGGAAGCCTTTGACATTGTTGACTGTTCCTCCTTGAAACACCCTTCTTGGCTTCCAATTCAGCACACCCCTCTTGGTGTTCTCCAACCTCTCCACACACTTCCAAGGCTTCCTTAGGGTGACTTCTTTGGTGTTTTCCTAGATTTCTCTTCTACTTCTTCCTCTCTTTGTCCTGCAAACAGTCACTGAGCAACTCACCTACTGTTCTGGTTTCAAAGCTAAACTGATGAATCTCTAGTTAAGACACTTCTTTTATTGGATACCATCCTGCATCCTGGACATCCCAGATACCTCAAATTCGGCCTTCCCAAATGGATGCGATATCTTCCCCCTCAACCCTCAATCACAACATGGTACCATGACTCATATTTCTACCCAGGCTACATACTTGGAAATCATTCTTAACTTCTTTTCCCTTTTCACATCTAATTCATCACCAAGGCCTACAGATTATTGCTTCTAAATATCTCGTTCCCGTGGCCACTACTCCAGCCCATGCCTCTTCCTCTCTCCCTTGGACCACTGCTGCTAAAACCTAATTGAGCTTTTCTCTCCACTGTTGTCTCTTCTCCAATCCAATCCACCACATTCTCCATGCCAGAGAGATCCTCCTCTCCACTCACTTTCCCTTAGGATAATGGCCAAGCTCCCCACCAGGCTTGCCAGGTCCTTCCTGACTTGGCCTTACCCTTAGCTTTATGCATCACCACTTCTCCATCCTTACTCTGAATTTCCCTCACCTTGAACTCATTTTAGTTCTGTGAATTCAGTGCTCTTTCTTCAACTCTGCTCTAGGTCTCAATGGATTCTCTATTTCTTTTTCCGGAAACACTCTTACTTTTTC